TGAGGCTTTTCACTTATCGATGAGACTCTTGATGTTTGTCTATCTTAAATATGAGATGATCTTCTTGGCTGAACGAGCTGGTCTTGAATAGGGCTGCATCAGTATCTTCTCAATTTAATTTCATCTGTATCCATTAATCTTTTTTCATAGTTGATCAAACTATAGGTAAATCTTGTATTTCATTAACTAAAAATAAAAATTCATCTTTGATAGAAGAATATCGATTCTATTATCAAGTGACTTGAAAAAAGTTGAAATTTGTCTTTTGTAGTAGATGATTAAAAATCTGGTATGAGGAATTGACTTACACAATTTAACAAAAGCGCATGATATGAGAGACTATCGAGTTATATTTTCGTACTTTTGATGATGTAAAATTTCAACAAGTACATATAACCTTAAAGTAAATAGCGATACTGAGATATCTTTTACTAAAATAAATTTTATATAAAAATTCTAAATTTCTCTACAACAACCGCAGGACCATGCTACGGCGTCGACTCGTTGTGTGTCCATTGTGCACGGAGTGTCTTTGACGTTTATACGTGGTGCGTTTGTTGTGCGCTGACTGTCCTCGATCTTTATCGACTCTTTTAACACGCTTTTAAACTTCACTTTCACCAGGCATACCAATGAAGGCAGTGAAATACCAATGATATGCATTTTATTGCATGTTATATTTAGAGATAAATATTCTAACATGTATACTACTGAGGCCTGGTAACATAAACATTTCAAGAAAACTAATAAAAGCTTGTATTGAATATTATTTATCAATGTTTAGACCTCAATTGTAATATTAAATAGAAATTGTCTGCTTTTGGACTAGAATGAATGATAATATACTCCAAGACACTTGGCACTCATTTGTGTAACACATAAGCGCAGTATGACAAACAATATTAAGGTGCAATTTTGTCCTTCTGTCGGAACTCATCTATGCAACTTCTAAGCCATTAGGACAAATCACATCGACACGCAATTTCGTCCTTTAGTGTTTGAAAGTTCAAATATTTTATACGTGATTGTGATTAAGATCTATAGTAAAAATACATAGCTCAAAATAATTGAAAAATATTTGTTATGAATACAAATTTGTTTGAATAGATGTGTTCAGATGCAAGATCCATATGCATAAATCTCAAATATGGGGCTGGCTAGTGTGAGCCAAGTGAGACCCGATCCATGATGAGAGGTCTAACTTAAAACTCTATAAATAGTGCTCAAGTCCCTCCTCTAGCATGATGCACAAATTATCTCACATAAGGAGCACATGCTAATTATGAGGATAGTCTCATCGAGCCAGTGACACATACGGTAATAGAGGAGAAGACTTGCACTGAGGATCGTCGTTATTCTGTATCAGGTGTGCAAATCTCTTTTACTCGATTAATGTATTCTAGATTTTAGTCATGGAGATCTGGGGTATCGTTTATTGCAGCTAACACAAGTGACTCGAAAAAAGTTGAAATTTATCTTTTGCAGTAGATGATTAAAAGTCTAGAGGAATTGACTTACACAAAAGCGAATGATTTGAGAGAATATCGAGTTATATTTTCGTACTTTTGATGATGTAAAATTTCAACAGGCACGTCTAACCTGAAAGTAAATAGCGATACTGATATATCTTTTACTAAAAGAAGTTTTATATAAAAATTCTAAATTTCTCTACAACAACCGCGGGACCATGCTATGGTGTCGAAGTGTTGTGTGTCCACTGTGGAGGGAGCGTCCCAACGTTGATATGTATCGCGTTTGTTGCGCGCTGACTGTCCTTAATCTTTATCGACTCTTTTAACAGGAAGAAAGACACTAAAAGTTCCAAAAGTCGTGTACGGCGCTCACTTTAATGTCAATTTTTTTTTCGGATCACTTACGTGCCACTTTTAAAAAAAAAACGATCGCTTAAATGCCAATTCCGATTTGGATCCCCGGAAATCCAACGTGGTCATATCTTATTAATTTCTCAGTCCTACGTAGCTCGCCGGCATGTCCAGTCAGCACATAACCCCTAAGCGACGTCGTTTAAAAGTTGTAAATAGTGATCGTTTGAGTGTCAAATTTTGTTTAAAGTGATCATTTCAGTGTCAATCGTTATTAAAAAATGATCACTTCAGTGCTAGTCGGATTGTGCGACGTCATTTTGGATGTTCACGTGAAATAGATTTTTAAAAAAATATTCCAAGTCATATTAATAATTGTTATTTTAAATGCCACGTAACCAATTTGACCAGAATTGGCACTTAAGTGATCGTTTTTTCTCCGATTTGATCCGAAAAAAACTTTTGGCACTAAAATGAGCGCCGTACACAACTTTTTGGCACTTTTAGTGTTCTTCTCCCCTTTTAACACGCTTTAAACTTCACTTTCACCAGGCATATCAATGAAGGTAGTAAAATACCAATGATATGCATTTTATTGTATGTTATATTTAGCGATAAATATTCTAGCATGTATACTACTGAGGCCTGCTAAATAAGAACATAAACATTTCAGGGAAACTAATAAAAAGCTTGTATTGAATATTATTTATCAATGTTTAGACCTCAAATCTAATATTAAATGGAAATTGTCTACTGTTGGACTAGAATGAATGATAATATACACCAAGACACTTGGCACTCATTTGTATAACTCATAAGCGCAGTATGACAAACTATTAAGGTGCGATTTTGCCTTTCGTCAGAACTCATCTATGCAACTTATAAGCCATTAAGACAAATCACATTGACACGCAATTTCGTCCTTTGGTGTTTGAAAGCTCAAATATTTCATACGCGACTGTGATTAAGATCTATCGTAAAAATAACGGTTAAGTGCATTGTAAGTCCTAAAACTTATCATGAAAGTGTAATTGAGTCCTAAAACTCTCAAAAAGTGCAATTAAGTCCTAAAATTTGTCATGAAAGTGCAATTAAGTCCTAAAACTTTCAAAAAGTGTAATCAAGTTATAAAACTTGTCATATTGATCCAATCAAGTCCTTTTGTTAATTGCACTTTTTGAAAGTTTTGGGATTCGATTGCACTTTCGTGACAAGTATTAGGACTTGATTGCACTTTCGTGACAAGTTTTAAGACTTGATTGCACTTTTTGAAAGTTTATAGACTCGATTGCATTTTCGTGACAAGTTTAGGACTTGATTGAACTTTTTGAAAGTTTTAAGACTCGATTGCACTAATGTAACAAGTTTTAAGATTCGATTGCACTTTTTGAAAGTTTTAGAACTCCATTGCATTTTTGTGACATGTTTTAGATATTATAGTGCACTTATCCCTAAAAATGAATAGCTCAAAATAATTGAAAAATATTTATTATGAATATAAATTTGTATGCATAGATGCGTTCACATGCAAGTCCCATATGCCTAGGTCTCTTGAGGTCATCTCTATAACACATGAACCAACTACACGAATGCAAGCAATTCTCATTGACGTGCTATTCATCTTTTAGCTCAACTATTTTAAGCGTGCTTATTATTGAGATCTATGGTGAAATATTAATTAAAAAGGCCTTTAGTAAATTAGTTGGTTATTAGCTCCCAATATAGAGGATTAGTGCTCGTTTTTATATTTTGCAAACTTTATCAATAAATAAAAAGAAATCACTGCTATTATCCTCTCACCAAAGATTCTCGTGTTCTATTGTTTTAATAATTTCCTTTCTGCTTTTATTGTGATCTCCCGTTTGTTGATGATGCGAACAAGTATTACCTCAAGATCAACTACACTTTTGACATTCGATAAGACTGGAATTCAACTTTCCCACTCTATCAATGATGGCCCTAATCTTGCTTGTTTCCCTGTTTGACATACTTGACGTATTACCACTGCTGTGAAACTTATCTAGTTTGGTCGTGGGGGGTAACAGATATTTGTGCAAAGTTTTATTGGGGTGAAGAAATTAAGTTTGAAGAAAGAAGCTGGTGTTCCTCTATTAGTATTTTGGAAGTGGTGCATCTGAGCTTATTCTCAGTCCCTCGGTCTCAATGAATACTGTGATCATAAGAGCTAGTTGTGAAGAGAAATGTATGTTTTCATCATCTATACCTTTTTTATGTCATCTAGCAGATTCTGTGAACAAGGAAGTGGTGAAGTAAAGGCCCATTCGCTACTGTTTTTGCTTCCTGCACAATAATGAAGTTGCTCAAATTTGTTGAAGACACTGCTTATGTGACTGTCTCCCTTTCTCATCCCCTTCTGTTTTTATTCTGCATTTTAGTTGCCATCTGATGATTTGTGATGGTTGGATTTGTTAGCTTGGAACCTGTTTGCGTTCTGTGGATTCCGGAATAGCTTTTGACTCTTGGAAAGGAGATAGTTTGTGATGAGAAGGAGAAGACCAGTATGGCTCCAATGATGCAGGATGGAAATGGAATAGACGAATGAATGCAATGGGGCAAAAGCGGAATGCACGGGAATGAGTATTTTAATTTCAGTGTCTGTTTGTGATAGAGGAAGATCCAAGAAAAACAATAATTTTTCTAATAGAAAATAAAGAGGGAATGGCCGATGGACATGCCTTCACGTAGAGAAAGTAATGACAAATTCCATTCTTTTGAATTGCTTAAGCTGATATATAGGCCTTGGCTGCTTTTAGAGGTACAAATCAAATCTTGTTATCATAATTATACAACTGCAATGTGCAAGAGCTGTGTCAATCGAGTCTGTTCTTGAATCTTGTCTGTCTATAAAAGCAGCCCAAGATCTGCAACAGCTTAGTTCAGACTCGGAGAATAATTTTGATCTTTTGTTGCAGAGAAAACCTAACAATTTTTACACACTTAAATCACCAGTCTTCCATGCCTGATCTCAAATTCCAGTATCAGCAATATTATTTTTCTTCTGAGGACTATCAAAGGAAAAAAAATTTGTTAGTTTAACAATTCTCCTGTTTCCTTGGCTATTTTATAGGAGCGGCCACACATGGCATGCTTGAGGTTCCGTTGACTCAACATAAAATATTGCAAGTTGATCATATGCACAGCTAAGCAAGAGGCAATAAAATGAATAAAATACCTTAGCCATTACTGAATTCAACATCGTGTGTGCTTCCTGAAAAAGATAAGAAGGTACAGTTGAGCATGCTCAGATAATAAACAAAAAATAAAGGCAGGCAAGCAGCTTCCTGGATCTTGCTTATTGAAGACGCAACTGGCCTTCTCTTGTCAACGTTTTGATTGTCAAACTTACGCAAAACTCTTTTACTGTCGGCTGTCCAGCGAAAAGATTGAAAGACAGTGTGTAGCAGAAAATTAAGGAACAGGGAAGGCAGAGAGAGAGGGAGAAAATGGAAGGAGAGATTTACAACGTCTTCAAGGTATGCATCACAGCTTTGATGTCTCTGTGCTATTGCTACATAGTTGGCAGGATCATCCCAAAAGGTACTCAAAGACTCTTAGCGATACTACCCGTTGTGGCTCTCTTTCTTTATCTTCCTCTCAATCTCTCGGCAGTGAATCTTACAGGCCAATTTGGCTTCATCCTTTCATGGCTTGGCAACTCCAAGCTCCTCCTCTTTGCCTTCGGCAAAGGGCCTTTATCTTCAGATCCTCCCCTTTCTCTTCCATGCTTCTTGGCCATTGGTTGCTTACCCATCAAGATCCAACAGACGCCACTTCAAGAATCACCTCAGAGGGGACACAGCACCAAAGATCACACATTCCCACCTCAAAAAGGCCATAAAAAAGAAAACCCACTTCCTCAAAATCCTGAAAACATAAGACATAAAGCTATCTTGTTCCTGAACTATCCCACAAAAGCTTTGCTTTTTCTGATGCTATTACGATTATACGATTATAGTGATCATTTCCATCCAAACCTGATGTTGCTACTCTATTGCTGCCACATATATCTTTCCCTTGAGTTGACCTTAGCCGCCATACAAGCCGCAGCTCGAGCAGGCTTCGGGATGGAGCTGGAGCCCCAGTTCCGTGAGCCGTACCTCTCGTCTTCACTTCAAGACTTCTGGGGGAAGCGGTGGAACCTCATGGTCACCAAAATCCTGCGATTGACCGTATACGAACCGGTCCACAACGCTGCGTCAGCGGCTGTTGGGCGCAAGTGGGCGGCACTGCCCGCAGTGATGGCCGCCTTCCTGGTGTCGGGCCTCATGCACGAGCTGATGTTCTTCTACATGGGGCGCATGAAGCCCACTTGGGAGGTCATGTGGTTTTTCGTGCTCCACGGGGCATGTTTGGTGGTCGAGATGGTGGTGAAAAGGAAGAGTGGCGCGAAGTGGCGGTTGCCGAGGGCTTTGACAGGTCCGATGACTGTGACATTTGTGATGGTGACCGGATCTTGGCTGTTTTTTCCACAACTCCTGAGGGATGGTGTCGACAAGAAGGCGTTGGAAGAGTACGCAGCTGCAGGGGCGTTCATCAAGGACGTCGGTCGAGCTGTGATGTCTCGGATTTTATAGAAAATGTTGATTCAATGTTTCATGATTCTAACTAATCAGAGGGTTGGGAATATTACCTTGAGGCATTCTTTGCCTAAATTTGATGGAAGGAAATGGGAGGTAATATTTGGAATAGGTCTCTCTTGTTTCTTCATGTGAATTTCAGCATCGATTTTCTTTCTCTTTCGCTTTGTTATTCCTAGGGCTGATTCATGCAATGCAAGATGATCTTTATCATCATTCTCCTCCGGCAGTTGAGGATGTGATTCGGTTTTAGATCTTGAAGACTACAAAAGTTTCTATTTTTAATGCATTTCGCTTTGTTATTCCGAATAACTTCTATTTGTTGGGCTGGGTTCACTCTCATATGGAGGAAGCCCAATAAAATGTTAGCACAAAGGTTTGAACCCATATGATAATCCATATGGAGAAAAAATAGGGTTTTCTCTCTATTTAAATGGTAGCTGCAAAGAATGATTAACATGAGGTGGTCGCAAGAGAAAAAGAGAGTAGAGAATTGAGAAAGAGGGTGTTGTCCGATTTTCATCAAGCTAATGATTAGAGATCGATTTGTGCTCCCTTCATCAGGTTTTTCATGGATAGAACCGAAGCTACGTTTTGGTAAGATTTATCCTTGATTTCTTGTGAAATTCATGTATATTAAAAAGAATGGTATTCTTGATGTTGCTGCTGCTGTGTACCTCTAGTAATAACTAAAGAAGAACTTACTGAAGATTTTGGATGGATTCCAGTCCCGTGGTTTTTTGTTTCCTCACACCGAGGAGATTTTCCACTTAAAAACATGTCTTGTGTTTGTGGATGCTTGGTATTTATATTTTGGCAGATATATTGTTTTCTTGTGTTGTTTTCTATTAGGTTTGCACAAGAGGGGAGATTGTTTTGTTCCGCTGAGCTAATCCGATATTATTCGGGTTGTCCTTGATCTCCCTTCACCAAAAGCCCAGTACTTGCTACTTGTTTGGCAGCAGAAGCTTCGGTAGCGAATGATAACCATTCTGTTTCAGAATGAGTTCCTGAACCAGAAATAGATTTTTCTATTTCTGGTTCCTGGATGAGTTTCTGAGAAAAAAAACCCGTTTGATAACAACAAAAAAATTTCTAGTTCTAGAACAAAAACCCGTTTGATAACAGCACAAAATTTCTATTTCCTGAAACAAAAACCCGTTTGATAAACAACAGAAAATTCTATTTCCAGGAAGAGAAATCCATTTTTTTAGAAATAGAATAAAAATAATTAAAAATTCCGAAAAATTCATAAAAATCTCAAAAAAATTCAAAAAATCCCAAAAAATTGAAAAATTCCAGAAAAAATCATCAAAATGTCGAGAAAATAAAAAAAAATCAGATTTCGGGATAATAGGAAATTTGTTTAATTTTTTCAAAAAAAATCAAGAAATCAAAAATTTCAAAATTTCACAGAATTACTTAGAATACATATAGCCACCTACTTTGAGTAAAATTTATATTTTTTGAGGTGCCCAAAAAAATAAAAAATAAAAAAAATTTCAAAATTTCACAAAATGGCTTAGAATACGCCACCCACTTTTTGAGTAAATTTTAATTTTTTTGGGATGCCCAAAAAAAATTTTAAAAAATTAAAAATTTCAAAACTTCACAGAATGGCTTAGAATACCCGTGGCCAATCATTTCAAGAGAAATTTAATTTTTTTGATATTTCCAAAAAAAATAAAAAAATTAGAAATTTCAAAATTTCATAGAATGGCTTATAGAATACCTGTGGCCACCCACTTTGAGCGAAATTTAAATTTTTTTAGGTGCAAAAAAAAATCAAAAAATAAAAAAATGAAAAATTTCAAAACTTCACAGAATGGCTTAGAATACCTGTGGCCACCTACTTTGAGCGAAATTTTAATTTTTTTAGGTGCAAAAAAAAATATAAAAAATCAAAAATTTCAAAACTTCACATAATAGCTTAGAATACTTCTAACCACTCACTTTGAGTGAAATATACAATTTTTGAGGTGCCCAAATGGTATTTTTGATTTTTTGCATTTTTAATTTTTATTTCGTCACCTATAAAAACATTAAATTTCACTCAAAGTGGGTGGCCACAGGTATTTTAAGCCATTCTGAGAAGTTTTGAAATTTTTTATTTTTTTTAATTTTTTTTCTACAGCTAAAAAATTTAAATTTCGCTCAAAGTGGGTAGCCACAGGTATTCAAAGCCAATCTATGAAGTTTTGAAATTTTTGATTTTTTTAATTTTTTTGGGGAATCTCAAAAAAATTAAATTTCTCTCGAAATGGGTGGCCACAAGTATTCTAAGTCATTCCGTGAAGTTTTGAAATTTTTAATATTTTTAATTATTTCGACACCTAAAAAAAATTAATTTTACGTTAAATTCGTAACGTTACGTATGCCCGCACACAAATTCCAGTCAAATTAATGCAAATGGCCAAGCACTGGAAAGGGTCTTCAACATTCAACCACCATCGCTCTCGATATTTGCTCTCAATATTTGTGAGTATGCATCGTTCCTCATAATATCACAAATGCTTATGGAGAAAAGTAAACCAAGCACGTCACATTACAAGAGCCAATATAGGAGATCCCAAAATACCACGTCACATTACAAGAGCCAACATAAAAAATCCTCAAATACAAAATAAAGAAAATACATTAGAAAAGTCGGAAACACATTTTCATGGAATCTCCGCCATATTATTATCAATTGCCAATTGATTGGCAATTCTTTTCTTAAGCATGTTGATCTCGATATCCTCCTCAGTCGATGTATCGTCAATAACCTCATCTTGTGCATTTCCAAACGGATACTCTGAATCACCATATTGAGAAAAGTTCTTATCCATATTGTCTTGATCACGGATGTAAAACGGAATTCACCCGTAAAAGACTTGGATGTCCTTGTAAACAACGAAGCATAGACAGCAAGTTGCTACTAGTGCAGCAACTACAACAAAGGGGATAAACAGCAAAACCGACTGTTGAAAATCACACCAAATTTCAAATAGACTTCACTTGCAGCAGTGAGAGCGACTAGAACTCTAGTTCGCAACAGCAATTGCAAAAAATAAAATCCTGAAACTAAAACTGCATGATCACCTAGGAGATAACACTACCAGGTTGACTACAGCCAATGATTTTTATCCAGGAAAACAAAAGGAGGATTACGTTTGTTGCTCTCTGTGGTTCTGAAGCTTAAGATCACATTGCTGTTCGAAAGTGCAAAAGGAGTTTTCACATTTTTACATTGTCTCAAACTCATCACACAAGCGAAACAAGTAAACTGAATATACAATCTGCATAATCAGCAATTTCATCAAGTTAAATTGGTTTACAGTTAAGTGGCAACAGCCAATCAAACTAACTAATACACCATCAAATCCCAACCAGATGAAGACATGCTCAGGGCATCCAATGTGGACAAAGTTCCAAATATAGAGTGATTATAGCTCGTTCAGGTTTTTAGCAGTGGGTTTAAACATAGCATACTAATCGATCACCTGACTTTTTTGAAGGTGCAACTAAAGGAATCAACATAAGCATATAGCTCGGTCTAGGTGATTTTCCATCATCCCCTAAAAAAAAAAATTGGTCTAGGTGATTTTCTTGCGTAGGAACACAAATAGTTCGTGCTTTTTGATCACCATCAGTAAGTTCTATTCAAGTGAAATTCGAACTTGATGCTTGTAGCATCAGCTTTATCTGATATCCACTGAAGTAAGAGAAGACCGATGTCACAAAGTTCGCTTCGATCGCCTTGACTTGCGAACGCCCAACAGATCATGTTACACTCTAAAATCCCACGACAGCAATTCAATCAACTGAAAAAACAGGGGACACATACAAAGCAATCACGACAGCATCAGCCCCCGAATCAAACACTAAAAACAACCGAATTTTTCCCAAACTGACCGAGGGAAAGCAACGGACGCCGAGACTCCTGGGAGGAGGGGTGATCTCTTTCACGATCTTTCTTCCTGCAGGAGATATGAAGGCCCTGCGCGCGAGCAAAAACCCACCACGTAAAAAAATCGGCGACTTTTCGAGACATCAACCTCGTTCGCACGCACCCATTCCGAAATTAAACGAACAAAAAAAAGGGGGAAAAAACCTCCATGGAAATGGTGAAATGCCGGCGGTCGACCTCGCCGTCGCCTAGATCTGGGCGATGGCGAGGTCGACCGGTGGCCATGGCGAGGCCGCTCGGTGGGGGAGGCCGAGCGGCCTCGCCATGGCTGGCGGGTCGACCTCGCCGTCGCCCAGATCCTGGGCCATGGCGAGGTCGACCGCCAGACCTGGGCGAGGCCGAGCGGCCTCGCCATGGCCGGCGGTCCACCTCGCCGTCGCCCAGATCTGGGCCACGGCGAGGTCGACCGCCGGCCATGGTGAGGCCGAAGCTGACCCCCCCGATCACGGCGACTTCCAAATCCAGAAAAGAGAGAGATGAGAGGAGATGCAGGGCAGGATCGGAGCTTACATGGAGCAGGAGCGAGCGAGCGAGCGGCCCTGGCTTCCTCTCGGTCGGAGCGAGCGAACGAGCGGCTTGGCTTTCTCTCGACGGCGACGGAGAGAGTACAGAGAGAGACGGGCAGATCAGAGAGAGAGAGATGAGAGGAGACGAGAGACAGATGTTTTGAAGAGAATGAGTACCTCAGAAATGGTTCTGAGTTTTGTTCAAGAAACGAAAAACCAACTTTTTTTAGGTTCTGATTTCTGGTTTCAGAACCGGTTCTGGGACAAAACTTGTCCCGGAAATAGAAAAATAAAATTACGTTACCAAACGGGTTTCTGGTCCAAAACTGATTCCGGGAACAAAAAATCAGTTCTGGACAGAACCAGAATGGTTATCATGCGCACCCTTCGTCTCTTATAAAGCCCAACTTATCTGCATTGATCCACGGCAGTTTGTTTCACTACAAATACGATATGGTCCTTTTATCTTTTCGGGTGCATAAAAGAGGACCTAAAGGCCGTAAAATTCAAAAATTAGGATATTTTGCACAATTTAAGGGGCTTTGGAAACAATAGCTTCTACAGTCAAACTCCAGTAGCTTCAAAATGTTCAATGGAGGTTCCTCTAAGATCTTGAGATTATCCTATCGTTAGCACTATCGCAAAATTTATGGTTGATGAGCTTTTGACAAAAAAAATCTGACGTCACGTTACAAAACTTTTTAATGAACAAAGGTTCAATGCAAATGGGCAAGTATATATGTCAAGGATAAGCCGAGG